TCGGAATCACTCTGTCTTCCTCGTATGCTCCGTCTCTTTCTTCCTATCTCTCTTCCTCCCTCCCTCTCTTTCTCTCTCTCTCTCCCTCTGTCACACACATACACAGCCTGTCTCTCTTTTTCTCTCTCTTTCTCTCTCAAACTTATGTCGCGGTCGGGTATGGCGCTGCCCATAGGCGCCGATACGCCCCGGGGTGTCGAGGCTGACTCGACTCGAGTCGAGTCGTTCGTTCGTCCATCCGCCGACCATCCTCCCCCTTGTTGTGTTCATTGAGCCGCTAGTTCCCCAGTATGCCTCTGCAGTTGCTTCCCTTTTGAGGGAGCATCATTGTTGGTGTCGATCGTGTTGACTTCCTCTTCGTGATTTTCCCCCATCTGTATCGTATTTTCCTATTCGGCTAATGTAGCCTTCGACTCGCATTGCAATCGTTACCACGAACCATAACAGGTGAGTTGTGTATACATACCTTACTCGTCTTTGCAAACGCGCGAGATCAGATCAGTGCCACAGCCTCGAGTTCGAGCACGTGTCAGAACGTGCCTTTCGGTTACCAGTGTCACCACGCGCGCGTTAATTAATCTTTTTATTCCTATATTGTAGTGGAAAATTATGTAACTTGTGTTGCATCGGAGTGATCTATTAAAGTAATAATAATAACAATAATAATAAAGAAGAAGAAAACTGCTCGGTTGTGTAAAATGTTTATAATGAATTGATTTCGTAATTGAGCAAGTTTGTGGATAGTGGAGTAAATAGTGACATACACATTGATCAGTGCATTATACGTGCGTTGTGCATAATAATGTATTTATCATTTTACGATTTTCTATTACATTTGATTCAGCGTAGAGGTCTAGTATTTTTGCGAAAAATTGCAACGAACGATTCGTTAAAAAATTTCCTTCTCGAAGTAGATACATTTGATTTCGTAAATTTGAAAATACGTGTAGATATATTTTCTTTTTTTCAAAAATTTTGTACACTCCGCATGTCGTGTAAGAATTCAAAGTGCACATTTATCGTTAGTCGACGAGTCTAGTTATCTCAAACAGGGATTCGTTGTTATCTTTGAGATATAGGCATACTTGAACAAAGATTGAACTTAGCTTACAAAATTGTACGTCGTATAATTATTCGGCATTTTGGTTTGTAACGTAAACTACAAATGTAGGCATAGCTCGTAACGAAAATTTACGAGCATAAGTAATTAGTCCCCTTTGAACTATTGCATTTTTCAACACATTGCAATTTTTATGGTAATTTTCAAATACGTCATGTAAAACAGATTGGTAAAAAACGCGTTCATCTAACGACCTCCCGCCAAGTAAAATAACCTAATAACCACGTGGTTTGGACACGTGGTGCTTTACTGCTTTAGACTACTCCATTTTGAATAGTGCTTTCGTTTTCTACGTGTTGGTACATTCCGATATTTTCGAAATTTTTTCTCTTTCATGATATTAAAGTTAAAAATATTTAAAAAAACATGTTTTGGTGGCTATCAAGAAATATATCTTTTTATATGTACGAACATGCACTGTACTTACCTTTTGTTATCAAGATAAAGAATTATGTATATTGGTAGAATTTCGTGATTGACAGTTAGGATATGATAATCGAGTCATTCGAAATTTTTGAAAAACATTAATTATTATTATATCGAATTAAAAACTATATTGCGAATCACGAATCCGCTTGAAAAAGAAAAAGGTGATATAATTTACGCACAAACGATAAGTGTTAGCTTGTGTACTGAACCTCACATATTCGTACCCACGTATGTTTCGATGAGAACTTACATGGGACTTCCTGCGGGTTCTTGATTAAAGTAGCGTGACGATTTTATCATGGTACCCGCGAGGGGTTGAAGCGTCGATTATAGTGGTGATGATGGTGGACGCATGCTATAGGGAGGGTTCCACTAAATAGCTTTGTTCGTAGGGATTACCTTTTGTGATGGTAATAGTTCGCTTATTTATTAGTGTGACAAGTATCATTTGTTGATTCATCGTGGTGAATAGACTACTGTAATTTGGTCTTCCTTTATTCAAACTTCCCGCGCGTCTAGATGTAGGTCGATAATATAGGTCTCTACCATTACGATTCACAGGCTATTCTGCTAGGGGGGTTAGGTTAGTCATTTCATACATAAGAAACGATCAAAATAATACGTTCTTTCCAATTAGACGAGCATTTTTTCAAATCTGATTACAAAGAGAGGTAATAATTTACTTGTTGTATGTTTTAAAATGAATAAAATATCTACGACGTACAACGCTTGCGTGTGGGTAGTAACTTGTTAATTACTGTTCGTGATTGGTCAAAAGTAGTAGAAGTAACATTTTATAGTCAAGCTTGATTTTGCGTTATTTTTATATGTTTTAAATTGTTGTCGATGCTACGGATACGGAATAAGTTTAAAGGTTACTTTGTTAGAACAGTATGAGTTATGAATTTTTATTTTATGGGTGAAAAGCGTGTATGCTGTCTAAACGGTGTGCGCC